ACGAACATGCACCTCACAACTAACAATTATCACAGGTGATCTTCTCGTCACTACTGGAGATGACGCTAGCATTCGTACCTGGAAGAAGGCCGCTGATGGCCACTGGCAGGAATATGCCCAGATTGAGACCGCTCAAGATAACTAGCGAGTCAAACGTTTCCTGCATTGTCAAATTCGACATGTCAGGGCTCGACTTGGTCTTCTGGATGAGATATCTACGGCGTTGGTGGTAGGCGGATCGGCAAAGGTCTGTTAGTAAGCCAAAACGCGTTGCATAACGGAGCAATTATGGGATGAGGGAGGGAGATTTTGCATATGGAATTTTCGGCGTTTAGGCATCAGGATAACACCATACGACATACGACGCATGGCTATTACGCTGCGTCCAGGTCATTTCACGTTTAGATACCCACGGCTATCCATCACCGATTCATCAGCCATGTCATGGTGGGACTTTTCATTTCAGTCATCGTTGGAATAAAAAGAAGAATAGCAGCTATGCTTACACTAATATCGTGCACCCACGTCTGCCGTTGTCAATGCTGTACCGCACCAGTCGAAGCTGCTGTCTTTACTTACATCTGCCTCAGTCCAAGCCGCCGCCGCCTGCGTCTTCATCAGCTGCCGCAGCAACTGACCCGGTTGAAGCTGCTATGTATTGTCACATCGGCCTCGGTCCAAACCGCCTTACTCCCCAGTCGTACCTGCGCATCCTACTTGCCCGTCGCCAGAGCTACCAGAGCTATGGTTACGCAGGGCAAAAGAAAGAGGTTAGCTAAGGCTACAGTTAGTTCGGATGCAGAAGACTCCAGGGAAACACAGCGCCCAAGCAATGAACTATGTGGATGGGATGTCTATAATGCTGGAGCAGAGCCACCCGTCATCGACGATGCCGTTGCTGAAGACCCAGAAGCTGCCAGAGCGGAACGGGAGCTATGGGTTTACTTACCCTTTACAGACCAAGAATTGACGGATACCACGCTGACCAGCGAGGAGGTCGTAAGGATGGTAGAACGCGGCTATCCCGCCCTTGCAACCAGTGCCATGGCGGACTTCTACCAGTCAGCTCGTGACCACCTGCCTAAATCGCCGCCGCTCACCATCTCAGTGCGCGAGAAGCATCCAACAACATGGCCACACACAAACGCGTCAATGGATGCACATTGGGGCCAAGCTACCGATGCGGAGAAAGCCCTTCACCCTCCTGACCAGGTCGACTCCACGGATGACTTTGCATGGCTTGATATGTCAGAGAGGTTGTTAGTCAAACCCTGTGGGAGCTCCGACGACTCTCTCATGGTGTTGTCCTCCTATCCGACTGCTGACGTCAACTCCACTGTGCACTTGGCTTATGGGACCAACGACGATATGTCCAACCAGTCCATGTGGCTTTTGTACTCAAAGATGGGTTTCCACGTCGCTGATATCAGGGAGCATTCGATGTTTCATGTGGACGTTTTTCCCCGGCGGTTGAATCGCAAGACCGTGCCTGGGGGTGACAGCTCCCTCAGTCTCCTCCGCCAGCTTCCTGCCGATCTTCGATAATACTGGGCCACTGCCGCCCAGGTGTTCATCCGAATGTCCACGTCCAAAATCCTGTTGGTCATGGGCACGGTTGCGGCCAGGGCATACATGATCTACATCAAAGAGAATGAGATCGAGCATAAGGTTCTATGGACATTCAGAAAGAAACGATTCGAGCAGGAGATCCCGTTAGCTTGGCTGCAGTTCGAGGCTGGGAAGATAAGGCGCCTGGCCTTCGCGATTCCACATCCAGAAGCTTTTTCGAGGAACCGCGCGTCTGTCCTAACGGACATCCAAAGGGAGTTTGCATTCCGTGAGCGGATATTTGACTACTGCCTTGTCAAGCTTTTCGGTAAACTTCAACTCCCCTGATTCCTCTCAACAACAGGGTAAGCCTATCGGTTGAGTACTGGCAGCATTCTTGAGATGTCGGCTTTCCGGAATTTCGACGTAAAGAAGAACGACACCCTTAGCAATCATTTTAAGCGGCCTACACTGGACACGGTCTTCTTAGACAAAACCCTAGAGAGGACATCAGGCATTGACGAGAAGCAACGAAAGGCGATCATGAAAGTTAGGGCAGCTAGTAATGTAAAGCCATCAGATGCCCTAACGAACTATCATAGGGACGACGCTAAGCGGAATTTTGCTGGCTACATCATCATCTACATCCTAATGACTTCCGAGGCTCTGGGAGGAAAGGCTTCGTCCATCTCAAAGACCAGAGAGCCAAGGATATACCAGTGGAAGAAGTGACCATATGCAGGCTCCGCCACAATAATGGTTCCATAGACGTCTGGGATGTCAAGCGCGACCTCCGCAGCGGCTCCGTCTTTCCACAGGCTGTCAACAACAGGATTTGTCAAGGGCCAAGTATGCGGATTCATCTCTCGAACGGGTATGCGGAAGGGCGGTGAGCTCTCGAGGTGCTGGTTGACCTGCAGAAGTACAAAGTCAGTATATCTTTCACATGCGTTTCGTACAGACAGAACTTACCGAGTCCCAAAAGATTTTTATCCTTTGGTTAGATGCTGAGAGTACAGGGTAGGCGGTTTCGACCATGCGCACAACATCGTCGCTAGTCAGGGTGAAGTCAAATAAGGCATCGTCGGAGAAAGGGACGTAAACAGATAACCATGCACGTCGCTCATCGGCGATGGTCTGCGGATCGGTCTCGTCTTCGAAGTCTGATCGGTGGAAGCCATTCACGTCGGGTTCGTCCTGCTCTGTCTCCTGGGCAGCCGTCTGGACCTGAAGAGGCTGGTGGTCCCTGAAAAGACGCCGCTTCCTAGGTCTCTTCCGGCGGTCCTCCCATAATTCATCCTCCTTTTGCGTCTCATGTTCCTCTTGCTTCTCATGTTCCTCTTGCGTCTTATGCTCCTCTTGCGAATCAAACTCATCTCCTGAATTGTCCTCCTCTTGGATTATGGCCAACCTGCGCTTCTTAGTACCATGTTGCTTGTACCGTGTACGCTCCCTATCCTGGTCTTCATTCTGATCCTGGTCTTCGTTCTGATCCAGGGGGTCTAGATATCTCAGGATGTCCGCAGAGAGTGCCTTCTTCGCTGTTCGAGCTAACCGTGGCCGAGTTGAAGCCTGCATAGCAGGAGCGAGCGGCCGCAGTAGCGTCTGATAGGTGCCGGTAGCAAAGCCGAAAGCTGGGGTGATAGCAGGAGCGAGCGGCCGCGGTTACGCTTGATAGGTGCCGGTAGCAAAGGCGAAAGCTGGGGCAATAGCAGGCGAGCGGCCGTAGTTGCAACGAATAGGTGCTGGTAGCAAAGGCGAAAGCTAGACAGGAGATGAGCGAGCGGCCGCAATTGCAACTGGTGGGTGCCGGTAGCAAAGAGGAAAGCTGGACAGGAGATGAGCGAGCGGCCGCAGTTCCAACTAGTAGGTGTTGGTAGCAAAGGGGAAAGCTCGCTGGTAGTAGCAGATGTGGCACCTGAGGAAGCTGGGATGAAGGCGGGCGGGCGGTAGTTGCATCTGGTACCTACCCAGTAGCAGCCGTTGCGGCATCTGAGGAAGCTGGGATAAAGGCAGGTGGGCAGTTGCTGCATCTGGTACCTCCCTAGTAGCAGCTATTGCGGCAGTTGAGGAAGCTACATTGGAGGCAGGCGGGCGGTGGTTGCGTCTAATAGCTCGGTGGTAGCAGTAATGGCGGCAGATGCGGCAGCTGAAGAAGCTGCATCGGAGGCAGGCGGGCGGTAGTCGCACATGGTACATCGTCAGTAGCAGCAAATGCGGAATTAGTTGCTAGGCTTCTGTAGCCGCAACAGATAGCTCTGCTGTTGCTGTAGATGCTACCTCTAAGTAAGGCAAATGAGCGTTGGCGGGCGTTATGTTTGCTGATGGGTGTAGTAGCAGAGTAGACAGTATAAAAGCGTCAGCTGCGCTATGCCAGGCAAGAGTGACTGCTAGTTCTGTAGAGGTGTTAGCCTTGAAGTTGCACAAAATTTGGTACACAATAAGAGACGCTGTTATCAGACCGCTGGAATTCCTTCTTAATTTCATCTGAACCTCCCGGTTCCTGTTACTTAGTTTTCGCTGTGTTACGAACTGTTTCCTACTACAATCTTTGCTTCTTAACCTCTTCTTGATGTATTTACAATCCGTTATTGTGAAGGCGCCCTGCACAATTTTGTTATCGAAATGCATACCTAATTCATCTGGCTTACGCCGCATGGAGTGGCTGGTTAGTGAATATTCTAGGCTACAAGACTATCGCTCTCCTGACAAATTTTCAGTACTATAATCGACTGTGATAGCAATTGTGATCGAACTGAAACGTCACTAATTCGACTCTGGGTACGATGAAGCAGCTACAAAATGTCTCCTGTGCGTGTGGCATGGCGGCACAAGGCTTTTGCTGGTGGGGCGGCTGTAGAATAGAGCTGTTGTATAGGCGGTTGACTCAAGATACCATCTAAGTCTAGATCTTTTAGATGCATCTGGGCTAGGGAATAGGAATAGTGGGGTAGAAAGCCGTTGCGTAATGCTAGGAACGTTGTAGGATTAGCGTATACAGATCGTTGGAATTGAAGACGTGGCCTTTCTGACAGCGGATCGGACTGGATGACTAGACTTGGAACTAGTATGATGCCATTGCGATTAGCAGACTATCTCATCAAAGTTGCTGTGTAGGGAGTAAGACGCTGCGTATAATATGCATGTATGAATCAATTTTTCCCATCCAATCAGGCCACGTGGCGCAATGGTAGCGCGTCAGATTCCAGTTCTCCTGGAACCTCCTGAAGGTTAGGCGTTCGAATCGCCTCGAGGTCAGCTTGTACGACGTCTGGGTGCTCAGGACAATGTATGTTTTTTGCCGTTGGGTGGGAGGGGATGCGTTGATGCCCTAGGGCGTTGTGGTTGACCGATTGCGCCAAGGAGGGTGACTCCACCAAGAACCGAGGATCTGGACCTAACTAGGCCATGACTCTTCTGAAATTGGCGTGCATTTTTTTGAACTGCTTGAATTATCCGAAAGATCCGAAGACAACCGCTTTACCAGATGAATTATCCTCCTGCAACATGGACCTTTCGAGCATTAAGAGGAGATGCGACGTTCTTATGAGGAGCTCTACCGGACATCAGCAGGCGTTGCAACACCAAGGAGGATGCATTGACTTACCGTCGTACTCAATTTCGTATGTAACTGGCATATCCTCATCTGTGCTGACGAGGATCGGAGCGTCTCTCCGAAGCTTCCGTTCCCTTACATTGAAGCGTACACCGCTGTCCTTCCTCGGACTGACCCAGAGGATCCGCGGGTCGTCCAAGTCCGCTTTCTCTTCCTCTACCTCTCTTACGATCTCTTTGCCCTTACCTACCTCCTCAACAACCTCATTTGGCACCTCTGTATTCGCCGTCAAGCCCCTCGCCGCAATGTCTCGCAGCCAATCTCTCCACACTCGGAGTACACCTTCCTCAATGTCAACAAAGTTGGTGAAGAGATTGTGAGAACCGATTTTGACAAGATTCGTCTGCGCAACCAGCTGCGTGAACAATTCATGCGCCTCCAAACCAAGTGTCTGTCTCACGGTCTCGCCTTCGTATCTCTCCTGTACTGCCCCCGGAAAGGTGCGACTGCCAGGTACGTCTCCAGGTCGGCGCTTCACTCTCCTGCCATCCGCTTCCAAATCGCGCCTATGGGGCTTGAAGCGCGAGTACATGTTGTTGTATTCGGCTAGTCTGCCAACCTCCTTTGTAGCAGAGTTGTAATCATCGTAACTCTTCAAGCCATCGGTGCATCGGTATGTACAGAAGTACGGGGGCTCGGTGAGCTTCGCAGAGGGGTGGAAACATTCGAGAAGCACCGAGTGCGAATGTAGCTCGGCAGCTGCAGTGAGCCGATTATGGAGGATACGTAGGATGAGCGTGTATATGCGATGCGATATCGTGGTCAATTGTAGGAGTTCGGGCGTTGGTATGGGCGTAAGGAGATGGAGAAGTAACTACGATGGTTAGCAAGTTGGACGCGATACGGATGTGACAGGAAAGCGTGCCTCATTGGGGAGCCTGTAGAGATAGCATTCACCCATGATGTGAGATGCGGTTGTATGTATATCAGGTTGCAACGTAGAATGTCAAACCTCGTGGGGCACGAGTCTACACACATGGGCGAAGGGAGCAACACCACGACTCGGAGATAAGATATCGTCATCGCGGTGCTAGGCTCACTTTGGCGGGGCCGAGGCTTGTCCGGATGAAGTTAGAGCATCATCAGAGACGCGCTTTCCCATTCAAGCCTCAGCACTCACTTTCTCAACTCACCTCGCAAACCTCAACTTCACCTGATCGTCGACAAATATCTAGGTAATAGAGTGAGTGTGGCTCTCTCTTTACCCACGATGCAAGGCTTTGTCGCTCGTCAGAGAACCGGCAGTCCTGCCGCTGGTCAGCCTCAAAGCAAGCCCGACCGCCAAGCCAATGCAGCCAACGCGAGGGTATCAATAAGAAACGGACATCCCGTTCAGCAACCTCAAGCGACTTCTGGTATTCCGGCGCGCGGACTCAACATTACCCAGAACAGCTCCGCCGTCTTACAGCCGCCCCTCCAAAATCGACAATCAGGTCCGGGTCTAAGTCAGAAGCGTGATCTCTACGACACTGATGCAGAGAGTCTTGACACTACTGTGAACCCATCTGTCGTACAGGTCGAAGATAGTCAACAGAAAGAGCAGCACTACCAACAGCAAGATCATGTCGTCAATCTTGGTGGCACTTCGGAGATGGAGGGAGAAGACGATGACAATGGAGACGAGCTAGAGGATATGGAAGACGGATCTGAAGATTATGACGACGAAATGGTGCAAATGAACCAAGAATTCATTCATGCGAGCGGAGTAGCACATCTTACTTACGATGAGCAAGTCGCCTTTTTGCATCAGGCAGGGCGCGGTGGACTCCCAACAGTCCGAGGCGACTCGTATCCCCCGACTACCAATGGTGAGCCATCCGAGTGGGAAGGCGGGCCGGAAGCACTCTCCAACTACCAAAACGAGTTTGTTCCCAGTTCCCCTCCGCCTCAACGTCAGAACATAAACAAGCAAGCTGCACGCATGCCGGCGTCCCATGTCCCGCAACAACAGCAACGGCGAAACATGCCAATTGCCAGCCAGGATACGCAGCAGGCATCGGGTTTGTTTCAGCATAGTGCGCAGCTCCGCGAGCAGTCTCGCACTGCCGCGCCTTCCCGGCAGGCTGGAGGTCAAAATGTTCAGCATCACGCCCTCGCCCTTCCCACCAGTCAACACCAAGCCTATAATCCGGACAAGCATAATAGCGCTGCCAACCTGCCGATGTATTCGGGTCCTCATCCTAGTACCCAGGTACAGCCCAGCAAATCTCAGCAACACCTTGTTCGACAGTCTTCTGGCCCCAGGACGCAGCCCCCACCCAGGAACAATGCCATGCCCAGTGAGCCTCATGCGCCTCAAAAGCGCCAGCCTCTAGTACCGGCTATACATGAACCCGTCGCGCAGCAGCAATCGGTCGAACAAGCGCCGATCGAGGAGCCTGAGGTTGTCTCCCATGAAGACTACGACCACACGACGCTGTTCGGGATGAGTTACGAGCAGCTTAGGAACGAAAGCTTCGATACTGATCCCCGTGCCCGGCCGTCTGTGCTCTCAAAGGAGGATCTTCAGAAGCCTCTGGTCGAGCGTCTAGAGTTAGTACAGCAGAACCCAGATGCCGTTCAGCAATCCGAGTTCTTCCAATCACTGCCCACAACCGAATGGGAGGATGCTGGCGACTGGTTCCTCGATCGATTCCAAGACATCATTCGGCGCACAAAGGAGGCAAGGCAAAAGAAACGCAAGCTAGCGCAGGAGTTTGAGGCAGAAGTTGAGAAGCGACACGAGCACGTTTCAAAGCGGCAGCATCAAGTTCAGCAGGCGATGGAGAAGATGAAGTCGCAGGGTGAGGGTCTAGTGCCTAGGAGCCCAAGATCCAGGAAAGGATAGGAGCGAAGCTTCTGAGCTCTGCTCTCTTGTTTCGTACCATCTGATGTTTACACGGCGCAGCGCAATGATGGCTGCCATGACAGGATGACTGTGTCCCGGCGCAATGTTACTGCTCGATGTCGCTTCGCGTATATTATACCCATATGTCGATTTACCTACTATTCCAAAACATAAGCGTGCGCCATACCTTCTCTCGCGGGGTGCATTTTATCTTACTGGAATATCATCCCGATGCGCTAGAGCTTAATTATGTACTACCACTCTCAACTAGCCTTTCCTACTATCCTCTTGTGTACGGTTTGTCTATCAAAAGCTAAGCAACTCGCAGTGCTGTCCCATTCAGAGGAGGAATTAAACAGATGAGTTGCAGTCTACATTGATCTCAAAACTGAAGTTCACAAAGTCTTCAGGCAATGTAGACTCCTTGGTGGTTTGTATCTCTCAGCCTCCGTAGATGTATGTTCAATCTTCCTCTTTGAACGAGGTCGTGCTCTTCAACATAGATTCACTCTCATCACAAAGCATGAGCAATCGCGACTGTAGCAGAGGAGAGTAGAGAGAATTTCCACGACAAAGAGGAGCAGATGAAATGCACCATCGATAAGATCATCGTCATCTCCCGACAAGCGCATCCTTCATCTCAGGATACTCTCTCCATAGATTGACAAGCGGCAAGAACAGGTTCTTCTGCACCTCATTTCCTTCTTGTTCAGCTTTCGCTTGTTCCCCAGCCCATTTCCACATTTGGCTCCAAGGCACCCAACTCCACGCGGCACATTTATGCGGTTCCATCGGCTGTCAAACCCATCAGTACTGCATCTCCTTTCCCCGTCAACTCCAGCATGAAGAGGGACTTACCATGGGTGTCTTATTTTCACCGGTGATAGTGCAGGTAACAAAAATGGTCACGTAGTGCTTTCCCTCTCCGAAAACATCGTTGGTAGCAGTCAGAAACTTGATGTTGCCCACCTCAAGCCCAGTCTCCTCCAGAACCTCTCTTGCAGCCGTTTCAGCAAACGACTCGCCGTACTCGAGATGACCTCCGGGACATTGAAGGGTTCCTGCGCCGTGCGAGCCTGCGCGCTCGCCCATGACGATGTTGCCCGCATTGTCATGGATGACAACGCCGACGCCGATCTTGGGACGTTGAGCTTCTGTCATATTGGATGAAGCTGACGGGGTTCGCTGTTTCGTAGGCAGCTGGGAAGTTTAGTCGCTGAAGTCGTGACTTTCTATGCTGGCCGAGGCTGCAGGCATGACTCTTCCCGATACATAGTGGCTACTCCGTGCGCTAGCGCCTAAAGTAGTCTAGTCGATGTATCGCCTCGAAGCCCTGCAGCGCTGCCCCGGGGCCCTCTCCATCTCCATCTGCATCGTGCTCAGCACACTAGGACGTCGCGAACGAGTCAAGCTGATGGCAAAGCGTTACTGCGCTTCGAAGGCGGAGTCGGCACTCGCGGAAGGTGTAAATCAGGCCTCCAGACCCACCATCTGCAAAGTTCGCCCTATTCGGAACATGACGGAAGCTTGGCACGTCAACGTTGACTTCATCGTCAGGATGTGTTGACAAATGTATAATCGGGATTTAGTGGCATGGTATGTTCTATCTCCACAAGGCGTCTGTTCTCCTGTCGCTTTTTCTTTCTCTCTGCGGGTAGTTGCTACAATCAATCGCTCGTTTCGACGACTTCTCCAGCATCACAACACACCCAATCTTGCCACCGGCGATATCGCACAGCACACACTCCCATCAGCATGCCGTTCGAAATAGCCCGAGAGTGGTCGTCGTATCATCTGATACCCCAATCAGTCGATGTCGCCTTGAATCCACCCGAATCCTACTTCTTCGTAACCGACTTCCTGATCATAGCCTGCGGTATACTCTATACGCTCTGCTACATCTTCTACACCATCCGAACCTACTCGGACCGTTACCTAGCTGGTACTGTACAGTTTCTTTCCGCGACCATGGCGTACGAGATATACTACGCGTATATTTGCACCACCACTACATTCCAGAGAGCTTGCTTCTTTGTGTGGTTCTTGTTCGATATTACATTCGTCACTGTAGCGCTCAAGTATGCGTACAAGCCTGAGGAGAGGAGGAGAACGATCATGAAGCTGTTGTGGCAGGTGCCGGCTTGGATGGCCTTTTTGTGGTGGGTTGGGACGGTGTGGCCGGATGAGAGGGAGCAAAAGACGGCGTTCTTCACGGGGTTGTATCTGGAATTGCCGATTGGTTGGGGACAGATTTTGTATTTGGTTCAGCGACAGGATACCAAAGGGCAGAGTCTGGAGATTTGGTATGTTGATCTGTTTCCCATTTGCATCATGGCGTATCGCAGTTCCACCTCATTCAAGGGAAGGATTGAAGAGACTGGAGCCTACGTTGTCGCCAGATATTCCGATCTGCTGGATTTTATCCCAGGGTAGTCTGCAGACCTGTTTAGCGTTTTACTTGCCTGAATCATCTCCAGGAACCAAGCGCTGACAAGTCTAGGATTACGAGATATCTTGGGTGCATTACGGCGTTTCTGGTGTTCATATGGAGATATGTCAACGTACCGGAGAACTGGTCATATGTCGGCAACTGGTGGAGTATCGGTGGCATGATCGTCACGCTGCTGCCAGAGACAGTGTATCCGTTCTTTTACGTCTGGGCGCATCGGAAAGAGAGGGAAAACACAAGAAAGAAGAATGCGTGATGCTGAAGGACGGAATTTGTCGATAATAGAGGGAATTGCGAAGATGCACAGTTGTACCTGTACGGGAATCTGTGTGTCAACCCTGTCCAAACGAGCCGTGCCACATGGTTGTCTCCGCCCAACCCATATTTGTACATACCAGACACGTTCCCCAGTATCGTTGCCCGCGTCTATGGATCATATTCTCCTGTTGCATCAGCTGATGCCAGGCGCATAACAAGCCGGAAATTCGGCATTCTCGATCAGGCTGTGGACTGATGCTGTGACAGTGCGCGAAACCCAAGACGGCCGATCGGCTCACAAGAATTTGCAGCCACGCGTACACTCGTTACGGAGGTTATGCGACGACGACGACGACGACGACGGATGTCAAGACAATTGGAAGTAGGATGACGCGAGCTGCTGGGTTTTTTTCCTTGAGCGCAGCGACATTTGGAAGTCGGTAGACCAGTGCGCGGGCGATGCAGCAATCTATTGCTGAAATCAAGATCATCGGCAGGCATGCTGGTAGGATTGGACAAGCTTCCCAGCCACGCGATCTAGGCCGCACATGGCGTCTTTGGATGGAGCCCAGCCACTACACTGAGCGCTTAAGTGTCTGTGCCCCCAGCCATGACGCTCATCATCTGGTTCGCACTAGCCGCATTACCGATCTTCAGCCACACGATTGGTCTCGTTCGCTCTGTCGCAAAAGCGAGTCCCTAGTAACGCCGCGAAGCATCATCCGCTCTAGCTTGCCCAAACTTCTGTTTACAGCGTCGTCCTCTCCTTTCCCCTCACCGTCGCATTCTTCGTGTGCCGACAGAGCTCTCATCAATCGACACAATGGCGCAACACGGTGAAGCTGCCGATTACTACACGGGCGCCGCACCACCCCAGCAACCGCAGGGCGCATACTACCAGGGTCAGCCATACGGACAGCAACCTCCCCAGTATGGCCAGAACTATGCGCCGCCGCCTCAGGGACCGCCGCCGATGCAGCAGCAGAACGGCTACCAGCAAGACAGCAAACAGAGCTTCGAACAGGCGTTTAAACTTGACAAGCCCAAGTACAACGATTGGTGGGCGGGACTACTCTTCATCGCTGTTTTCCTAGGCTATGTCGCAGTCAGTGTGATTTCAATTCGGGGATATTGTAAGTACTCAATTCGCTCAGCACGGAATGCGCTTGGAATGAAGACTAACGCGCGACGCAGCGCGTACCAATAGCGGAGGCATCTACGGCGGCGACACCAACAACTTCGCTCTCAACTCGAACACCATCATCCTCTTCGCATTCGTCCTCGGTTTAGCTACCGTCTTCAGCTATGCATACATGTGGGCTGCGCGCAAGTTTACCAAGCAGTTCATCTGGATCACCGGCATACTCAACATCATCTTCGGTTTTGTTACGGCAATCTACATGTTATCCAGGAGGTACTGGTCTGGAGGCATCGTTTTCCTGCTGTTCAGTGTTTTCTACGTTTTCTGCTTCATCAGCTGGATTCCCAGGATCCCGTTCAGCGTCCTCATGCTGCAGACTGCTATCGACGTGTCAAAGAAGTACGGACACACCTACATTGTATCGCTGGTCGGAGGACTGCTCGCTGCTGCACTAGGCGCATGGTACTCCGTCACGCTGGTCTCCATCTATGTTCAGTATACACCCAATGGTGCCAATTCGAACTGCAGAAACGGTGTCGGCGACTGCGGAAGCGGCAAAGTAATTGGCTTGCTCGTTTTCGTTACCTTCGCCATGTACTGGATCTCCGAATGGCTGAAGAACACAATTCACACCACCATCTCCGGCGTATACGGCTCCTGGTATTTCAACCCGAACTCCATGCCAAAGGGCGCGACCCGCGGTGCTTTCAAGCGGTCCGTGACCTACAGCTTCGGCAGTATCAGTCTTGGAAGTTTGCTTGTAGCTATCATCCAGACTCTGCGTCAGCTCTGCTCGGCCGCTCAGCGCAATGCTGCCGGTGATGGCAACATGGTGGGGGCGGTTCTGTTTTGCGTCCTGGGCTGCCTCATTGGCATCCTCAACTGGGCTGTCGAGTTTTTGAACAGATACGCATTCAGCTACATCGCGCTGTACGGAAAGAGCTACGTCGCCGCAGCGAAGGATACCTGGAAGTAAGTTCTTCTGTCGCTTCACACCCGGTAACATTAAGACTGACTCTTATAGGATGATCAAGGATCGCGGTATCGATGCGCTTGTCAACGAGTGCTTGATCGGACCTGTGCTTTCAATGGGAGCTACCTTCATCGCATATGCCTGCGCGCTCTTGGCCTACCTTTACCTTATCTTCACCTCGCCCGAATACAACTCAGACGGCGCCTACACTCCGGTTGTAGTAGCCTTCTCTTTCCTGATTGGCCTCCAGATTTGTAAGTTGTCAGCAATATTGGTAAAGCTCATACTAACCCCTCTCAGGCAACATCTTCACCACGCCATTGAGCAGTGGTATCGATACCATCTTCGTCGCAATGGCCTGGGACCCCGAGGTTCTTATGCGCGAGCACCCAGACCTCTACCACCGCATGATAGCCGTCTACCCGCACGTGCAACAGGCGATTCATGCATAAATTGGGGCTGCGGACCTCCTAAACACTTCGTCGGACTATTTGGAAATTCCATAAAATCTTTATAATCACGAGATACCCACTTCGAATCGATCGCGATGCCTTTGCGACACAATTTTCTGCCCATGGCGGGGCGCCCTGACAGCAACGGAGATGGATGGGCTTGGCGCAAACTAAAAACGGGAGACCGAACCGGCGTCTCCACAAGGCCACTGTCGGCGCTACGACTTATGACGTCTACAGCCCCATCCACATCGTGGAATGCGCGATCCAGGCGAAGCATAATGTTGGGCGTTGCAAGCTATGGAGCGGCTTCCACGGCCGGGAAAGCTCCGCCTCGTGAGGCATCACAAGTAAGACGTTGGGCATTACCCACGAGTGAGATATTAATATATTCTGTTCAACTTCATGTTGGTGGGCTGCCTGCCATATTGCAAGCGACACGTCAAACACCCGCGTCTGCGGTATTGCTTTTGCACTGTCTCGCAGTTCGTGCCTACCTACATTCGCTCCTAGCGGCCAATCGGGTGTCAATAATAAACGTCACCGCCCTGCGGGGTCTATCCTAAGCCACCTCACTCATCGCGCTGGGCGCCCCCAACATAAACACCACCTGTTCCCCCTCTCTCACCACAGCCTACTGCACCTCCACACTCACCTGCACACCGCCCGCTAGAGAACCTTCTGGCCAGGTAAGTCCCTCCCAATTGCATACGTAACCTGCAAATCCCGCCGGTTCCCTACTACTTATACCCCACCAACGCGCCTTCCTGCTCCACCACCAACACAATAAACACTTCTCTTCCCTACCACCCCTCAACTCCCTACACCTCACTTCCAACCCGACTTCAACGAATAACACTCCCGTAGTTCAATACACACCACCCCCACTACACACATCATGCCCTACGAGAAGAAGGCAGTCCACTTCGGTGGTGGTAACATCGGCCGTGGCTTCGTCGCTGAGTTCCTCCACAACTCTGGCTACGAGGTCGTGTTCGTCGATGTCATGGACAGCATCATCGAGTCCCTCCAAAAGACCTCCACCTACACCGTCACCGAGATTGGTGATGACGGCGAGCGCAAGTTCACCATTGACCACTACCGCGCTATCAACTCCAAGCACGAGATGGACAAGGTTGTCGAGGAAATTGCCACCGCCGACGTCGTCACCTGCGCTGTCGGCCCCAACATCCTCAAGTTCGTCGCTGAGCCCGTCGCCAAGGCCATCGAGGCCCGCAAGCTCGACTACCCCATCGCCGTCATCGCCTGCGAGAACGCCATCAACGCTACAACTACATGGAGGGGTTTCATTGAGGGCAAGCTGAGCGAGGAGACCAAGAAGAACATCGACAGCAAGGCTCGCTTCGCCAACTCGGCCATTGACCGTATTGTCCCCCAGCAGCCCCCCAACGCTGGCCTCGACGTCGTCATTGAGAAGTTCCACGAGTGGTGTGTCGAGCAGAAGCCTTTCGAGAACGGCGGCAAGAAGCCGGATGTTAAGGGCATCCACTACGTCGACGACCTCGAGCCCTACATTGAGCGTAAGCTCTTCACTGTCAACACCTCCCACGCCACTGCCGCCTACTACGGACACCAGAACAAGGTCCAATACATCCACGAGGTTCTTCAGGATAAGAAGCTTCACGACACTGTTCGTGACGCTGTCAAGGAGACTGCCCACCTGATCGTCACCAAGCACGGCGTCAAGACATCAGAACAAGACGAGTACGTCGAGGAGATCATCAAGCGTATCTCCAACCCTGTCCTCAAGGACAACGTCGAGCGTGTCGGCCGCGCTCCTCTCCGAAAGCTCTCTCGCAAGGAGCGATTCATCGGCCCCGCCGCTCAGCTGGCTGAGAAGGGTGAGAAGGTCGATGCTCTCCTCGGCGCCGTCGAGCAGGCCTACCGCTTCCAGAACGTCGAGGGCGACGAAGAGTCCGCTGAGCTTGCCAAGATACTCAAGGAGAACTCCGCTGAGGATGTCGTCACCAAGGTCAATGGCATCGAGAAGGGACAGCCCCTCTTCGACCGCCTTGTCGCCATCGTCAAGAAGGTTCAGGAGAGTAGCTGAATCGCCGTTGGTAGACTCTGAGTAGTCGCTGCGCTTTGACGGAAGTGGAGTAGTCAGACACTTAGAACCTACCGTGGTTTGTTTACAGCAAGGAGGATGGAAAGCGCCCTGAGCGACGGCTTATGTGGCGAAACTTTTGTGACATCGACCGGAATCAATGTCCTATATAATGACAACGAGACATGAATCATGAATATACCCTTTCAGTTACTTCTCTTCTCTTCTCTGGGCAGCCTTCAGTTCCATGCGTCTTTGCTCTTCCAACCCCCACATCAGCCTTGTCGAGGTTTTCTTATTGCAATCAAAGGAGCTGTAAGATCTCCATACTTTTGTGCCCCAACGTCGTATTCTACATGCGTCGGGGCTACATGGGCGACATTATGCTGACTTTATTGAAAATCAGCCTTGGGAAGCTCTGTCTGTTCCACCCTGCGACAATCGGCCTCCCTCCTTTCACTGAGAAATAGGAGTATCTTTAGCTTCTCCTTCGTCATGGGGTCAGCTTTCGCCTCGGGTCTCGAGAGATTCGCACCATCAACTGACTATGTTGGGCCAGTTACCATATCTTGCAGCAACTCAATATGCGCTCAGCAACAGTATCGCACATGGAAAGAATCGCTTTATCTAGGATTTTCGGGTCTCGGGTTACACGCGAACAACCAAGAAATATATGTAGTGTCGTTGCGTAATTTCGCCCCCTTCGGAAACGTCCAGGAACGGGCGCGGGTATGACTGACAGGGATGCCCGGGGGCGGCGTTTGCGACATTCACCTCGCAAGGCAAAGATTTCTTACGAATCTTGAGAAATTGCAAGGCCTTCCGGGCGAAGTGATTGTTCTTGTCGCTTACAATTGTGGGCACTTTCGCGATGCGTGTTTCGAATGTATCGCCTTTACTGCGCGACTACTTAGAGGACCTCATCGCCAGAGCAACTCTTTACGTTCTTTTCCCTCTGTTCTTCCTGGTTCTCAGTTCAGAAGCCTCTCTTTTTCGTTCAACTTCTGTGTACAGCTGCCCGTCTACCGCGTACGTATACGTTTTCCACGTTGGACAGCAACCCCAAAAAATGGTTTGGGGACTACAATGCTAATACGAGTATCAGACTGACCGGCCTCGTGCGTATTCCAGCATACGAACCCCCAAGTTCATTGTACTTCTTCACCAAGATTTGCATTAGACCAACAGCTTTTCGACTATAACAACAATGTTACCAACCTCTATCTTCGCTGCTAGCAGCTTCATCGCTTTTGGATACGCGTTCCCGCTTTACTCTCGTGTCGCAACATCTACTACTTTAGCTCCGCGAGCTGCTTACATCACGTTTGGCGGTGACGGGTCGGCCGCTGCAGGATGGCCGAAGCAGAGCGAATGGAAGTCTTTCGAGGACGCCTGGTATGTTTCTTCAGAACAAGTATATCCTTTTTACTCACGCATTAGTAGGGCATCCAACCAGGACACTATCAAGACCTCTTGCGAAAATCACGGCTGGGGCGACAACAACAGCGACGCCGAAACTCAGGCCGTCAAGGACAGTATTGAGTCAGAGTCAGTAGCTTCTGGCGTTCCCAAAGAGCTCATTCTCGCCATAATGATGCAAGAGTCCAAGGGCTGTGTTCGTGCTCCCACTACTGCGTCCGACGCGCCCAACCGTAAGTGTCTCTTTACAAACTACGTGGGATACATACACTGACTCCATACACCAGCGGGTCTTATGCAGGGCGCAGGAACTGCCTCCTGCCATACCATCTCGCCCTGCCCCGCCAACGTGATCCATGACATGATCCACGAAGGTACCACCGGAGAAGGTCTAAGGTTAAGTCTGAAGAAGGCGCTGGACGCCTTCAGTGCCACCCCGGACGACAGCAAGTACTACAAAGCAGCGCGTCTCTACAACTCCGGCGATCAGGTCACAGATCCAAACTTGGGTCAAGGCGCTACCGCATGCTACGCTTCAGACATTGCAAACCGTCTCATCGAACCTTTCGGGGACAGTAGCTGCGACAACAATGCTGTCGCTAGCCTTACTCAGACTGCGGGCCGCGAGACTGTCAACAACAACAACGAGAACAACGACGATCAGCAACTTGATCTTGAACAGCATCAGACCGTCAATGAACAGCCAGCGCCCAAAGATAATGGCAATGCCCAGTCTGCTGACAGTGGTGTCCTGGACACTACCATCACCGGCGCCGTGGACGGCTGCACCAAATACTACACTCCATCTGACGGCAGTACCTGCGAGGCCGCACCAGTCCCTTTGGCCACGTTGCGTCAACTTAACTCACAGTTAAGCGAAGATTGCTCTAACCTTTGGGCCGGATACGGTTACTGCATCGCTACCTGAGCGTGATGGCCGTCCAGCAAAAGCGTAGAAATTCATGGAAGAGATTCCAATTCAACTCTGCGCTCCCCAACGCTGTCACCTTAACCGAGGAAAACTCAGGACACTCTGGAGCCTACATTAGATCTATATCTTCTAGTCTGGATACATTTACCCTATTGTAGGCTGCAGGCCTGTTCAAACGTTTCCTTGTACCAGGTGCTGCTCTCTTCTTTTCTACACAATCACTTTTATGACGCGTTTTTCCCCTCCGTTTCTGTATGATTAGACTAGTGAGCGTCTAGAACGACGAAACACTTCATGCTCTACAAGACCACTGTCACCGCGGGTGCTCAGAACCAAGTCGCAGTTTACTGCATACATGTTGCTAAAACTTGATCAGTACGTACCTGCTGATGCGATGTATACTTCTACCTCGATTTTTTCAGGGTACATTGTGACAGTAATAGTTGCTACTCCTAGTGCTGTCGCGCTCCTGCGTGTCGTTTCTATTGCTTAGTGTGATGAGCAGTCTCACGTTTGAAACTCGGCCCGTGTTTTTGTATTGTACATAGGCTTTTCAAGAGGTCGGATAGTGCACACACGTATTCGCGGCCAAATCCTTCGAAATTGCCAGGGCCTACACTTCTAATGAAGCCCGACCATGGCCAGTGCGATTGCGTTGGTTACGCTACATGACTATGTATTCAACTTGCGCGACGGCGACGTCGACGGAGTCATCCTATTGTCCAGACACAATCAACTGAGTAATATCATCAATTTCCTTGACCGTCGGCGTCAAGTTCTCGAAACCATCTTTGGTAACGAGCACATTGTCTGCAAGACGTTAGCAAATTCTCAACACCCTTCATCACAACAGCATACCTTCAATTCTCACACCTCCCACACTCCAGTACTTGTCCAGCACACTCTCATCGATGTACTTCTTCTTCTCCTCATCCTTGAGGTACGGCTCAATGATGAACTTGCAGAAGTAGATACCAGGCTCAACGGTAATGACGCTGCGTTCGGGTAGAGTTCCCCTCTTCCTTAGGTACCTGAACATGACGTCCTTGTCCGCGTAGTTGGGGTCGCCGCCGGAGTCGTGGGTGTCCATTCCCAAGTAGTGACCTAGGCCATGAGGGAAGAAAGCGACGCTGATTCTCTTGTTGAAGAGCTCCTCCGCATCGCCCTTCAAAATACCGAGTTCCAGAAGTCCCTTGATAGCAATCTTATGGGCGAGCTCGTGTACGTGGTCCCATACGACACCAGCTTTGAGCGCGTTGGTGCACTGGTGCTGCATGTCTAGAACGATCTTATAGATAGCAAGGGATTCAGTTGTGAATTTGCCTTTCACGGGGAACGTGCGTGTGATGTCGGAAGCGTAGCAGTCGACCTCGCATCCTGCGTCTAACAATAAAAGGTTCTGATCCGAGATTGGAGCAGCATTGTTGACATAATGCAGTGTTGCGGCGTGTTCACCGGCAGCCACGATAGAATGATAGGCTTGGTTCTTCGCGTTGCGCTCTACACACGCCTTGAGGAAGACAGCCTCAAGTTCGCATTCGTTCTGCGCTTTCGACGCAGCCTTCATGACGGCCTCGTGGGCTGCTGTTGAGATGACATTTGCTTTGCGGATGAGGGCGATTTCATAGTCTGTCTTTGTGACGCGGCAGTACTCGATGGCGGTCTTGAGCTGCTTGAACTCCTTCTCTTTGTAGGAAATAAAGGTGATGTGATCGGATACCTGCTCCGGAATAGCGTAAACGGTTGATTGCGCAGATTCAGATTGGCTTGCCAGGTGAGAGTTGACGTCTTTGGTAGTCAGACATTCGTCAATGTCGTACTTGGCCTTGGCCTCTTCCGGGCTCATGGGCAGACCAGACCAGATAACCTCATCCGGCTCTACAGGAGGGATGAAGAGTGTGAGCTTCTCGGTGGCAATCTCGTATACAAGATACGAGTCTGGCAGCTCGCAGCCGCTGAGATAGAAGAAGTACCGTCGCTGACTAGATGGAGATAATCAGCGCATGCTTACCCCGACCCAAAACATGCCTACCGGAATGGTGCCTCTCCGTCGTTGTCCTGGCAAGTACATTAGTCTGTGTTGTGATCAGCATCATGGATGCATACTTCGTTCAACTTCTGCTTCTGCGCTTCTAGGTAAATAGTTCCGTTCTTGTCTCCACCCTTCTCGATGATCCACTCTGCGACCTTCTTTGCATGTGCCTTGGCCGGGTATTTGCCCTTTAGCACCTCTTCATAGTTTTCGGCAATCGCCATCTTGTGCACGTTGGTCCAGCTTCCGCTCTCTGCAGATAAGGTGTAGAAACAAGGTGTTGCAGTCGCTGAGTGTGTTGTTGGTGATGGCAGACGTGGTCGTAAAGTGTGTCGAAGTGAACGACTGATTTGAGGTAGCAGGGCACGCATGGGGAGCTTGAAGGAGCTTTGCTGTTTGTTAGGCGCGCTGATAGCTACAGGCCGCGAAGGTGGGGTGGTGGGGTGAGCTTGCATCTGACGGGTAGCCGCGGTCTACCAGTCTCGATCATAACAGGAAGGTGCAACTATTCTGAACGTGATCATCAATTGCACGTCGCGAACTTTTGTTGGATGTACAGATATGCATGTCGCTTCGCTAATTTTCGTAGTACTACATAATCATGTCTAAATTCTTAACCCACAACAAGTCGTCTGACGCCGCAAAACACGCTCGAACCCCAAACGCCGGTCCATTATGCCGTTGTCAATCCATGCGATAGATCAATGATACCTCCAAAATCGCACGTGTCCATGCTGCAGCCGAGCTGACCAATGCGTATGGCTCCGAATACCGACCCCAAAATCTTTCACACGAGAGTTGGGTGTTCATGCTTTGTCGTACGGTGGAGCACAGTCGCTTTGTTTCGTCTGATGCTTTCGTTCTCGAATCGGTAATGCATGTGATAGAGGGAAATCTAGTCCTGCCAGCGCCTCAGGAATTTGGCCATGTCGTCGGTGGCGTGAGGAGCTGCGGCAACCTAAAAGATGTCAGTAAAGCTTCTAGCGTATCTATACACCCCAAAGAACGTACCGTGTTCTCCATGCTCTTAACAGAGAAGGTTTGACTCTGCGTAAGCGTAGTCAATTGGCTCGGGATCGGCAGCCTCGACTTCGCAATCTTGACGCTGCTTGTAGGGTACAATGGCTTTGTGTTCTTGGCGGTAATCTTGGTGGGCGGTACAGGCTGCATAGGCGCATAACGCGTCAAGCCTGTCTGCATCGCGTAGTCCACCTTGTATACGTCGCCATCAACCGGATCGGGCTCAGCAGGATTCGTCCCATCGGTCGTCGTGTCTACGGTCGGCGGCCCGGTTGTGGTATCGATGTCCTTGACGGCGGCTTTGACCGCAGGGCTTAGAATGTTCTTGCCCGTCATGCCACTGAATTGGAAGCGATCGGAGTAGGTGAGGAGCTGGCCGCCAGTCTTGCCAACTGCGATCATCTTGATGAAGCTGCAGCGGTCAGATTAGCCGGTCGTTGAGCTAGGTTTCGGGGGGGGAACTTACTAGGCATTGACGTCTTTCAGGTCTTCAGACTGGGTTGTTTCAATTCTGCCCGAGGCTGTGTTGCCCGCTGTGAACGCGCCGCTTGTTGTGATGACGCCCACTGGGAACTGTTTCCCCTCATTAGCATCTTTTCGTTGCGCCTGTGCTGATGCCACTCTTCGCAACCTACCTGCTCAGTGCCATCATTGCCTCCCACGATTACCTGCAACTCATACGTCGTCAGGTCTGTAAGCTTCGGTCCTGTGCCACCTTCTTCCCATTTTACTGTAACGGCTCCGCCAGCCGCAATCTTGTCGCCCGCTTTGGGTGATGTGAATTTGACCCCGGCACTGACGAGTGGAGAAAGGGCAGCGACGACTGCGGCAAAGGGAAGTAATATCCGCGTCATGGTGAGGATTTGTGAGGACAACGAGTGACGGGCGGGCAGCGGTGTGGCGTGAAAGCGAGCGTCGAGCGCTGTCCGATGGCAGAGCGAGGGGCACGATACACGCAATGTTTGCGGATCTTGGATGCGATATAGGCAGACGTCGAGTAGAGGTAGGTAGAGGCGGGTGTTGGGCGGTGGCTGTTAGTGTCGGGTGAAGGATGCAGTCTGGAAGCAATCAAGCAACATGCGGCGCGCCAGGGGCACGATCGTCGTTGCCGCGCACGCTAAACTGTGATTGGCAACGATGGTCGTCTCATTGCGACGCCTCAACACCATGGAAAAAGGACGTACATGATCCAAGTCAACAATCTGCCAATTGCAGTGATTGCCATTGTTTCCATGGATACTCAACAACACTATCAGCAGCTATCTCGGCCTGCACATGACTTGCTCGGCTCGCATCTCCTCCACTTGGAGCCGGTACCTGAATCTACATTATCGGGTCTCCACATTCTACCGCCAAAAGTGGGTTTCAATGCAGCCTGTGTTTGCACGTCGAAAATTTTTGACATTCTCTCCAGTACACCTCTTGGTGTCTATAGTACAGACGCTTCTCTCGCCGTCATGCCCGTGTTTTGCTACTCAAACGCCATTGCCATGCTAGATGGGGATATCCTAAAATTCCAAACAAAAGGAGATGCTTGCCCTAGTGTCGTTCCAATTCAAACAGCCTGCGCGTTCCGTACTTTTGGGTTGTTCATCTTCAGGCTGAAGGATGTCGGTAATCTACAGGTCATGGTTGCAGCCTGTCCCGCCTTTTGCAGTTGAAGTGTCAGCTCCTTGAGCTTCTCTGGTGTGAAGATTTGTACGTCAAACGACAGCAAGAACTCTACGCATAGCTCAAGTCGGCTGAGTGCCGCCTCGTCGACACCTCCTACGGCAGCAAAGCGCTTCTGCGGCCACCTGTGATCTTCTAACGCCTTCATCGCTACGAGAGCGCAAGCCAGGATGAGCCGGTGCATTGTCCGGTATGTGAGGGGAACGCTCCTATCGATAACGCATAATCGCAACATGTACGACCCAGCAGCTAGCCAGACAGCCGTAGACAGCGGACAGAATCTCTGGATGCGGTTCATGTACTCCTCGACGCCAACTTTGGGCACCGTCTTGGAGAAAAACTTGCGAGCCATGTTGGCTCGTTGCACGGACTCGGGCTGCGCTCCGGCGCCAATGTCGTGTATGGTGACGGGCTCATCGTGACCCGCTTCCGGTGGAGCTAGCTCGGTCGGTTGGTGATTCTCTTTTTCGGCGGGGATAGGCGTCGCTGGTCTGGACGCTGTCCGTCGGTGGGAGCGTATGAGGTGGTTTTCCCGTCCGCCAGGCGTCCCGGGCCGCGAAAGTGGTGGTGTTGCGGGCACATCGCCAGCTGCATTGGCAATGGCAATTATTGAGCGTGCGATCAACTTCATGGCGGTTTCCCGTGACATGGTCAAAACGTCGAGATCGTCATCGTTGGCAGGCGGTGATGGTGCGTCCTGGAGGCTGAGGTTGTTGAAGTCTGGTAGTACGCCTGCGTCGCCTGCCGGGTTGGGTGCTGAGGGGGGATTCATTGTGGTTTGGTTTTGTATGACCGGTGCAAGCACGAGTCGCCTCGGATGCACGGTCTTGTATGGAGGGGCCGAGTGACAGACTTGGATCATTTGGACGTGTGGATATGTTGCCGATGTCTACCGATATACTGCGCAGACGGAGAGCGTGTCGAGGAATAGTCGGAGAGGGTGATGTGCGATGGAGTATGTGCTTTGTCTGCCATGGATCAACAAAACTCCACTGTAGTATAGGATGTTAGCTTACACTTGGAGGTGACGATCAGCGCGGCTAGCGTGTCGACCAGGATGGGGTTCGTATTGGTATTGGCGGTTGGCGATGGATGTGAGGGTGGTTGTGTAGTAGGAGTACAGCAGGCGGGCGTCCAGGAGATGATGAAGACGGGTAGTGCTGGTAGACGGAATTATTGAAGACACGATAATCGATAGCCTCGGGGCGTGGCGTTGGTTTGTAGGGTCAAGTGACGCTAGAAGGATTGCGTCCTGACTTGGTCAAGCTGGCTGGAACTGTAGTGCAAGCGCCGTTCCGAAGCTCGCTGCCGTCTTGTACAAACGGTGGCCATGGGCAGTAGCGTGAAGTGGCTGGAAATCCGCGCGGTGAGGCCCGCCGAATGCGTTGGCGGGCCACGATGTAAAGGTACGTGGAGCGCTGAAGAGTGTGCGACTCACGATGCGAGGCCCGGGAGCGGGTCTCGTGAGAGCAGAAAAAGGCTAGACTGCTGGCCCACCGGGCCGTGCTGTACAGGCAGAAGACGCGCAGCTATCACCAAGCAGCCTGTCTCTCTACACGCGACGAGAAGGAGCAGGAGAGACGGTGGACCCAGGCAGGCGTGATTGGCGGTTAATTGGCTGTTAAGTAAGAAGCAGCGGGATGAGCGCATGCATGGGCTGGAGCAGTTCCGGAGAGGGTTCCGTATGAGGTGCTGCAGCTGGGAGATATTGGCCAGGCGACTGCGGGGCAGATGCGAGGCGCTGCAGGGTCTGTCCAGCCTGGGAAGCACTGCAGAAGCCCTCGAGACACCTATTCAACTGTCATGTGAGAGCCTTTGCCGAGATGAACTGGACGCTCGGAGAAATCAATCTTAGAAGTGTCTGGCCAGACTCGGGTCCACACTCATGCCAGCTGGGCCGCGGCTGCTGGTATATATCCACCTCCCTGTTGTGCTTTGCCTCCACCACTTTGGGACTTCACCTCTGCCATCGTGACCATGTCTCACAGTTCTGGGGCTACAGAACATCCGCTCCCAATGCGCGTCTAGCGCGTGCCCGCTGCATGAAAGTTGCGGGCAATGGTAGCACGCAGCTGCACACCCTCCTGACCGATTGTACATCAAGCAGCACTACGCATGCATCGCGGGCCCGGGTCGCTGTGTCACAAACTCTACGATCGCACATTGCAGCCAATCGATCCACCGCAAATCGTAGACTCACTCACGGCGATGCACCTCCACGTGTTCGCGCAGACCAGACCGGCCCTCGTACCCTCGGGTGGCGTCTTCGACTCGTCGACAGCCGGTCCGCAATCTCGCGACCCGATGGGTGACAGATGTCAGAGGGCTATTGTCCGCAGCCATCGCCAATGGTTCACGGATCGACGACATGCTATAAATTACCGGGCTATGGGAGCGTCGAGCTCTGGAAGGCCCCGATTCAGCTTTCCGTGAGCGTTAGCGTGGATACCACCTTAGCCCTTTGGTCCGCTCGACAGTCGACACACTTGAACGACGGCGTTGCTAGTTCCATCTACCTTCTTACTACCTACCC